TGTCACTTTTGACTCCCCCCCCCCCAACTTAACAGTTTACTGTTGACTGGAAGTCTTACCGATAGCATAAACGGTTTGACACATACTTTATATGTATGCGTGTTAGGCAGTGTGTTCCTTTTTTGGTTGGGGGGAGAGAGAGAGCAGGTAAGAGCGAGGGCGAGCAGGGGAGGGGAGTGGGGGGCATGCGGCGGGAGAGAGAGAGAGAGAGAGAGAGAGAGAGGATCTCAAGCAGGCTCAATGCTCAGCATGGAGTCCCATTTGGGGTTCAAGCTCACGACTCTGGACTCATGACCTGAGCCGGGATCAAGAGTTGGGACACTCAACTGACTCAGCCACCCACGCATGCCCAAAGTTATTATGTTAATTTCAATTTTTTTTTTTTTACGTCTCCGGTGAAACAAATATATATATTTAAAGTTTTTATTTATTTATTTTGAGAGAGAGAACAAGCAGAGGAGAGGCAGAGAGAAGGGGAGGGATTCGTGGGATAAAGCAAACAGAAATTATGAGATTACTTTCTCACGCGGTAGGCAAATCCTGACTAACCGGCTTCCGTTGTCTGCTGAGACGTGGGGCCATCTGGACCAGCCCTGCTAGGGTACAAGAGCCCCTGAGGGCCGGGAGTGACACCATCTTCTGACTCGGGACCCAGGAAGTTCCTCCAGTTTCTTCCTGGTCCCAAAGTTCTGTACCTGGAATATGAGAACTGCTCGGCAGGGGTAAATAGCTTTATGGGACTTGAAGGGACAGGTTGCCATCAGCCGACACGGATGACTGACTCATTGTTCCTCAAATATGGTCCCACCAGAATAGCAGCCTCATACAATTACAGTTTGAACCGGTCCCCACGTAAGAACGTGAAGAGTGCAATTTTAACATCGTAGGACATTTGTAGTTATCGGATAAAAATTTGGCTGCTTAATATTGGATTGGTAATCTCTCACCAACCAGTTCTGCTTCATGACTGAATCGCAAATGCTGTCCTTAGCTGGAACCAAGGTTTGGTAAAATCAGAACTCCAAAGCTGAGACGGGGGTGATCACATGGTCGGACTTGAGTAAGGGTTAAGTAAAGATGCATTTTCTGCCGGTGTTTCTAGAACGTGATTAGTTTAAACACGTCTGTCTTTGTCTGAATGTCATTTTATTGTTATTTTTAAAATTATTTTTGGGGCGCCTGGGTGGCGCAGTCGGTTGAGCATCCGACTTCAGCCAGGTCACGATCTCGCGGTCCGTGAGTTCGAGCCCCGCGTCAGGCTCTGGGCTGATGGCTCAGAGCCTGGAGCCTGTTTCCGATTCTGTGTCTCCCTCTCTCTCTGCCCCTCTCCTGTTCATGCTCTGTCTCTCTCTGTCCCAAAAATAAATAAGTGTTGAAAAAAAAATTAAAAAAAAAATTATTTTTGAGAGAGAGAGAGAGACAGAGCGTGAGCACAGGAGGGGCAGAGAGAGAGAGGGAGACACAGAACCCGAAGCAGGCTTCCAGGCTCCGAGCCGTCAGCACAGAGCCCGACGGCGGGGCTCGAACTCGCGAACCGCAAGATCATGCCCTGAGCCCAAGTCAGACACTTAACTGACTGAACCAGCCAGGTGCCCCTGAATGCCATTTTTAGAAGATGCAGATGTTACAGAAATCTATAACAACAGAGTGGAAATTCCACGTGAACCTTTTATATATACTCAAGCATTTCTGGGCTTTGGTTTATTCCATTCACCTATTTACTTATTCTGGAATCAGTATTATGCTTTTAATAACTGTAGCTTTCTAATAGTTTTATGCTTTAGTGGTACGGCCATCCCTCTTATTCATATTTCCCTCGTGTGTTACTTCCCGTTAGAGTCATTTTGACAAACAAATCCTGTTGTGGATTTGTTGACGTGTTATTATGCTGAACTTACAGGCTGATACAGAGTGAAGTTACATCTCTGAACTGTGGAGTTATTCTAGTTAAAAACAAGTAATTGGGGCGCCTGGGTGGCTCCGTCGGTTCAGCGTCCGACTTCAGCTCAGGTCACGATCTCCCGGTTCGTGGGTTTGGAGCCCCGCGTCGGGCTCTGGGCGGACCGCTCGGAGCCTGGAGCCCGCTTCGGATTCTGCGTCTCCCTCTCTCTCTGCCCCTCTCCTGCTTGTGCTCTGTCTCTCTCTCGCTCTCAAAAATGACATAATATTTTAAAAAATTTTAAAAAGGAATATGTTGACTGGAAAATTCCTCACTGTAATCTGATTCTTAGCATTGACTAGAATTAATAACTTGGTGTATGGCATTGCAGATATTTTTTCTGTGACTCTACGCTTTAAATATGCATGTGGTCTTGTATTCAGCCCAATAAGGTCTTAGAGTTTTAAAGGATTTATCCTACGTCTGTTCAGTCGTCTGCTTTTTATTTTATTTTATTTTTTTTTTAAATTTTTTTCAACGTTTATTTATTTTTGGGACAGAGAGAGACAGAGCATGAACGGGGGAGGGGCAGAGAGAGAGGGAGACACAGAATTGGAACCAGGCTCCAGGCTCTGAGCCATCAGCCCAGAGCCTGACGCGGGGCTCGAACTCACGGACCGCGAGATCGTGACCTGGCTGAAGTCGGACGCTTAACCGACTGCGCCACCCAGGCGCCCCAATCGTCTGCTTTTTAAAAAAAATTTTTTTAATGTTTATTTATTTTTGAGAGAGAGAGAGAGAGAGGCAGACCGCGAGCAAGGGAGGGGCAGCGAGAGAGGGAGACACAGAACCGGAAGCAGGCCCCAGGCCCTGAGCTGTCAGCCCAGAGCCCGACGCGGGGCTCGAACTCGTGAACTGTGAGATCATGACCTGAGCTGAAGTCGGACGCTTCACCCACCGAGCCACCCAGCCGCCCCTCAGGGATTTGCTTTTCAAAATAAACGGCATTTCAGTATTTATTCAGCTGTTTAAAGTCTCACACTAGGGCTTTACAAGCTGTTGGACATTTGACAAATTATTTTCTCCCGAAGAACCGTAACGCACATTCCCAGACAGTATAAATATGTAATGGAACTAGTATTAACGTATATCATTATTTATAAACGGATTATCAAGTACTAAAAAATTAGTGTAATAAAACCAATGATCAAGTATCCAAAAATTAGGTCACACGGCTCAAAAGACATACACATACATTCTCTCCCTTTCGAAAGTTCCTATTATACGACTTGGCTTTTACGAAGCTATATTGGTACTTAAACTTTTGTTAACCAAAGGAAACGCAAAGAGGATTTTTGCTGTAACCGAAAAAGGCGAAAGGGAAAAATAGCGCTGCTGGGTTTGTTTTGCAAGCCCGGGGTACAGAGACGGCTCGCACCCTGAGCAGCCCCAGGGTCGCCCCCAAGCACCTTGCCCGGGGAGCTCAGCATCTCAACATCAAGCGACCCTGTGTCGGCGAGCAATTGCTTTACCTCCGTTCATTTTGTGCATCCGTTAGCAAGATGCTCCTAAGGTATCAGAAAAGCCTAAATGTAGTTAGTTTGGGGGTCTGGGAACACTAAAGAATTTTCCATAGAAATTCATGGTAATTCAATGGTCTCGTAGGATTGTTTTCCTTTCAGAGGGTGGGAGGAACCTGTAATACATTAGATAGCGGCTCAGTTCATTGCCAGAAATTCACTTCCTTTTTTTTTTTCTTTTTCTTTTTTTTATTTTTTTCAAGGTTTATTTATTTTTGGGACAGAGAGAGACAGAGCATGAACAGGGGAGGGGCAGAGAGAGAGGGAGACACAGAATCGGAAACAGGCTCCAGGCTCTGAGCCATCAGCCCAGAGCCCGACGCGGGGCTCGAACTCACGGACCGCGAGATCGTGACCTGGCTGAAGCCGGACGCTTAACCGACTGCGCCACCCAGGCGCCCCTTTTTTTTTCTTTTTAAAGGAGAGGCTGGGAAGAGGGGAAAAAAATTCACACTTCAAACAAAAATAGTAGTGGTAAACAACTTCCGATAGGTCTGTAAAAGTTAGGAGATGTTCAGAAATCTTATGATTAAACTTCGTTTTAGTTTCAATAACAAAGCCTCACTGGCCTTTCAGAAATACCTACTAAGTTAAAGGATATATTCTACATGTTTTGCACAAGACAAAAGGCAACCTTTTATTAAAAGTAGGAATAAAGGGGCGCCTGGGTGGCTCAGTCGGTTGAGCGGCCGACTTCGGCTCAGGTCATGATCTCACGGTCCGTGAGTTCAAGCCCCACGTCGGGCTCTGTGCTGACAGCTCAGAGCCTGGAGCCTGTTTCGGTCTGTGTCTCCCTCTCTCTCTGACCCTCCCCTGTACATGCTCTGTCTCTCCCTGTCTCAAAAATAAATAAAATGTTAAAAAAAAAAAAAGTAGGAATAAAGCCTGGGGCGCCTGGATGACTCAGTTAAGCATCTCGACTCTTGATTTCAGCTCAGATTTCAGATTTGATCTCACAGTTCGTGAGTTCGAGCCCTGCATCGGGCTCCGTGCTGACGGTGGGGAGCCTGCTTGGGATTCTCTCTCTGCCTGTCTCTCTCTCTCTCTCTCTCTCAAATAATAAACTTAAAAAAATTAATAAAATAGGAATAGTCTTCTCATTCTTCTTTTTTTGAAGTTTATTTTTCATTTATTTGTTTTTTTGAGAGAGAGAGAGTGCAAGTGAAGGGCCGAGAAGGAGAGAGAGAATCCCGAGCAGGCTCTGTGCTGACAGCATGAAGTCACAGGGACTCAAGTTCCTGAACCGTGAGATCATGACCTGAGCTGACATCGGGAGTTGGACGCTTAACCGACTGAGCCACCCAGGCTCTAATTTTCTCACTAATTTTCAGGCTTTCCCTGTTAAGTTGCACACCAGGTGCAAACATTCCATTAACTGTAAGGCTTTTGCCTGAAGACTTTACAGGGTGTGCTGCTGTGCAATGTAGAGTTTCCAAGTGGCGGTTTTCTATTACAGCACAACGTGAGACTTACAGAAAGACAAATCATCACGGTAAGAACTTGGTTGACATCCAGCAAAAATCAGCGATTGTAGAAACCCGATGTACTTTGGTACGAATTCGGCGGAAGTAAACATAGAGTAAGCAAGCGAATCACCATACGAGTTTCCACTGTCAATGTTTGAAATTCCTGAAGGCATATACCACATCCAATGAGAGTGTTCATGGCGCCTGGGACTTTCATCCATGGTGATACTGAAAATATACACATATTGGGCTGGGTATTTCGGTACTTCGCATCTCTAAATTTTCTTGGCTGTTGATAAGATCTTGGGATGAGAACGGATTTTTTTAAAAAAATTTATTTATTTATTTTTGAGAGACAGCGTGCAAGTGAGCTCAAGTAGGGGAGGAGCAGAGGAAAAGGGGGGAGAGAGGATCCCAAACAGGCTCCGTGCTGTCGGCGCGGAGCCCAATGGGGCTCAAACTCACAGACCGTGAGATCGGGACTTGCGCCGAAGTCAACAGCCAGACGCTTAACTGACTGAGCCACCCGGGTGCTGCTGGGATGGGAATAGATTTAAAAAAAAATTTTTTTTTTAAACGTTTATTTACTACTGAGAGAGAGAGAGAGAGAAACACAGAGCGTGAGCAGGAGGGGTAGAGAGAGAGGAGGAGACACAGAAGCCGAAGCAGGCTCCAGGCTCTGAGCCATCAGCACAGAGCCCAATGCGGGGCTCGAACTCACCAACCGCGAGATCATGACCTGAGCCCAAGTCGGTCACCCAACCGACTGAGCCACCCAGGCGCCCCAAGGGATGGGAATAGATTTAAAGAAGACTTCCAACCCAAGATTGCATGATTTCAGCATCTCGCCAAGTGTCCAGAGAGGACCAGGAGATCAGGATCACACGGGCCACCTTAAGACTCCGTTTGCCACATCAGTCTTGTGTGTTTTTTCTTGAGTTCCTTTTTTCCTACACGTTTTTATTTAAATACCAGTTAGTTAACATACAGCATAATATTAGTTTTGGTTTGAAATGTAAATCGAAGGGGCGCCTGGGTGGCGCAGTCGGTTAAGCGTCCGACTTCAGCCAGGTCACCATCTCGCAGTCCGTGAGTTTGAGCCCCGCGTCAGGCTCTGGGCTGATGGCTCAGAGCCTGGAGCCTGTTTCCGATTCTGTGTCTCCCTCTCTCTCTGCCCCTCCCCCGTTCATGCTCTGTCTCTCTCTCTCTCCCAAAAATAAATAAATAAATAAATAAACGTTGAAATGTAAATCGTTGCCATGTTAAGAAAGATCAACTTATGATTTTACCCCAACAATTTTTATTTTATTGTTTATAAATCCCAAAGTTTTATTTAGAAATTAAAAAAAAAATTATTTTGTTTGATTTACTTATTTAATTTTTTAAACATTTATTTATTATTGAGAGACAGAGAGAGACAGACCGTGAGCAGGGGAGGGGCAGAGAGAGGGAGACACAGAATCCGAAACAGGCTCCAGGCTCCGAGCTGTCAGCCCAGAGCCCGATGCAAGGCTCGAACCCACGAACCGGGAGATCATGACCTAAGCCAAAGTCAGACCTGAGCTTAACCTTAAGACTGAGCCACCCAGGCTCCCTTCAAAGTTTTATTTTTTAAAACTGTCAAACTGAAGAAAACTTAGAACAGTGTTACCATGAATACCATGAATACACCTTCCACCTGGAGATAACAATTATTATTTTACCACATTTGCCTGATGTCTCTTTTTGTCTTTCAAATGGCTGAGCCATCTGAAAGGACGTTCGAGACACGTGGACACGTCACCTCTAAAGATTTCATCAGGCTTCTCAGAATGACCACATTCCTCTATATAATCACAAGAGTACCAGCTCACCTAAAAAAAAATGAACAATTCCCTAAGATAATCTAACCTTCAGCCCATGTTCAAATATTCACGATTGTCCTGAAAACGTCATTTAAAATTGTTTTTTGGAACAACGATCCCATCAAAGTCCACACGTTCTGTCTGGTTGCCAGATTTCTTTGATTTCTTCAGTATCGAAAGCTTTCCCCATCCCTCCACTGTTTTTCCTTTTGGTAATACTGTCTTTTTCAAGAGTCTAAGCCAGGGGCGCCTGGGTGGCTCAGTCAGTTTAGCGTCCCGCTCTTGATTTCGGCTCAGGTCACAATCTCGTGGTTCTTGAGATCGAGTCCCACGTTGGGGTCTGTGCTGACAGCGTGGAGTCTGTTTGGGATTCTCTCTCCTACCCTCTCTCTGCCCCTCCCCCCATGCACCTTCTGTCTCTGCCTCAAAATAAATAAACAGAAAAACTTTTTTTTAACGTTTATTTTATTTTTGAGAGAGGGAGGGAGAGAGACTGACAGAGCGTGAACAGCGGAAGGGCAGAGAGAGGGGGAGACGCGGAATCAGAAGCAAGTTCCAGGCTCTGAGCCATCAGCACAGAGCCCGACGTGGGGCTCGAACCTATGAACCGGGAGATCATGACCTGAGCCGAAGCCGGACGCTCAGCTGACTGAGCCACCCAGGCGCCCCTCAAGAAAAGAGATTCTAACACAACTTGTTCTCTCGTGTGCCTACAGGTGTGAATTTCTACGGCTCCTCAAGATTTCAGCGTTTCTCTTAGGCCTTGGCACTATTGGGTTTCTGTGCGTAAGCGTGGGGCTAAGTAGGCTCACACCAGAGCTCCCTCCTTCTGCTGTGGCTGACCAGCCGCTGAAGCTTCTACCTGAGGAACGTCTCCGGAACCTCTTTACCTACGATGGAATCTGGTGAGGTTCAAGTCCACGTTGTTCTGATGTCTCCCTTGCTCCCCCTACGGTTTACTGTGCCTCCTGGTGCCCGTTTTACACCCCTTTCCCCGCCTTCCCGAGCCTGCGCCTGTCGCTAAAGTGGACCAAACCGGGGGACCAGGAAAGGGTTCGGTCTGCAAGGTGCACAGCACCTACCAAAGTCCCTTACAACTACGGAGGGCCTGTCCGGCCAACAGTGTGAGAAAGGGGCAGCCTTTTCCACCCGCTGGCCTCCTCCTCTGGTGGGGCCAAGATGCCCCTGGCATCCATGTGACTCGAGTTTAAAGAAAGTGGGTGCAGGGGATGATTCCAGAGAGGGGACCTTCTCCCCCTTCTCCGTCCCCTCCCCTCCCTGCGTCTCTGGGAGGTGTTGCTGCTGGGATCCCAAGTAAGACCTGGGCGGGTGTGGGAAGGAGATGCCCAGGGTGGACGGTGAATCGCACGCCGGGTTTTAGATGGCGGGTTCTCCCCCCTCCCAGCCCCTGTTCACAGCCCTTTTCTGGTTTTAGGCTGTTCCCGAAAAACCAGTGCAAATGTGAAGCCCCCAAAGGGCAGGGAGGCTACAACTTCCAGGATGCCTATGGCCAGAGTGAACTCCCTGCGGTGAAAGCGAGGAGGCGGGCTGAATTCGAACACTTCCAGAGGAGGTAATGCAGACCGGGACGGGGGGTGGGGGTGGGGGGTGTGGGGCGGGGGGCTCCTGGGTCTCTCCTGTGTCCTGAGGGTGTGGGTCCCAAGAAAACAGGGAGGATCTCCTCTCTTGCAGGGGCCCCTGGGGGTGTGGGGGGACCGTTAGGAATAAAGCAAGGAGTGAGAACCGAGGAAGATGGAAAATGGCCCGTCCATGAAGACGTATCAAACTTTGCACGTCTAGGGCATTTCCTCATAAGCATCGAGCCGAGGAGTGAAGATAGTCTGAGGCGTCCCTTCTTTCCTTCCTCCCTTCCTTTTCCTTCTTTTCCAGCAATCATTCATGAATCATAGTGGAAGGCATGCTATAATAAAAAATAAACAGAGGGGCGCCTGGGTGGCGCCGTCGGTTAAGCGTCCGACTTCAGCCAGGTCACGATCTCGCGGTCCGTGAGTTCCAGCCCCGCGTCGGGCTCTGGGCTGATGGCTCGGAGCCTGGAGCCTGTTTCCGATTCTGTGTCTCCCTCTCTCTCTGCCCCTCCCCCGTTCATGCTCTGTCTCTCTCTGTCCTAAAAATAAATAAACGTTGAAAAAAAAATAAAAAAAAAAATAAAAAAAAAAATAAACAGAACCACGCTTAGGGATTTGAACTCTGGAACAAGCTGGATGCCAAGTTCCCCGCCCCCCCCCCCCCAGTACTTAAGTACCTTTATATGAAAAATGGCGATAGAGATACTTCTTTCGGAGGTTTGTGAAGGCTCGTAATGAACATGTGTTAACACAGCTAGTATCTCGTAAAGGGTCTGACGGACCGAAGCCTTGCAAAAATATCACCTACTATTATTGTTGGGGTTTACTATTCATATTACTCTGCTTATGGTTCTTACAAGAGGTACATGATTCATTAAGAGATACATAAGTCACCTAAATATTAGATCGTTATAAGTGCCCTATGGAGGTGCCAGTTAAATTCGTGTGGTAGAATGCTACTAAATGCCTAAGATTTAATGGGATGGTGAAGCAAAGTGACCTTGGACTCTGATTTGTATATGAAGCAGGAGTCCCCAGCGTCTCCTGTAAGGGAGCATCTCAGAAGGAAGAGTTAAGGCAGGGCCCAAAGCCCGGGCAGGTGGGGGAGGGGGGGTGGATTTTGTGATGGCTGAATGACAAGAAAGCAGGCGACGGCTGTTGGAGCCTAGTAAGTCAGGGGAGGGCTGGTGGTGCATGAACTCAGAGAGGCCAGGAGGCCAGGAGGCAGGGTGCACATTTTGCTTTCTGAGTAATGCAAGGAATTAGACAGGGTTTTTTTTTTTTTTTTTAAATGTTCATTTATTTATTTTGAGAGAGAGAGAGAGAGAGGAGAGGGAGAAAGAGAGGGAGAATCCCAAGCAGGCTCCAAGCTGTCAGCACAGAGCCCCACGCGGGGCTCGATCTCACGAACCATGAGATCACGACCTGAGCCCAGATGGAGAGTCAGACGTTTAACCGGCTGAGCCACCCACGCGCCCCAGAACCGAACGGTTTCTAAAAGTGGCCCGTTCTTACCTGAGATGCTTTTGTAAAACGGGGCTCTGGCTTTTCGGTGCAGAGTACATAGTAGGGAAGGGATAGGGAAGGCGGGGCGACCTGTTGAGGAGGCAGCTGGAAGGTACATGTTCCTTCTACTCCTGGGACAGCGGTGTCTCTGGGATGAACGGTCCCCAGGTGCTCAGTTGACTGAGCCTGAGTCATGAGTCAAGGAAAGGGAAGGGTGAGTAGGGCCCCTCCGGGTTTGCTTGTGGGAATCAACCACTACCCGCCCCACCCCCACCCCCCCCAAACTACATACAAATAGAAGACTCCAGAAAAAGAGATGGGGCAGCGGCAGGAGGCAGCGTTGCAAGTCGAAGAGCCAGGGGAACACAACAGATGATTCTGGCATGGCTTTGAAGCCTGGCCCCACCTAGGTGCGTGAGGAGCATTCGGGCTTCGCGGTTAACAGTGCGTCTTCCGTGTCCCAGCCGGGTGACCTTGGGCGAGCTGCTTACCCTCTTCTGTATAATGGGGACAATAACAGTACCCGGGGTTGTTGGGACCTGTAATGAACTGATCGACGAAAGGGCTCAAAACGGTACCGAGGTTGTAGCCTCAATGAACTGATAGGACAGCAGAGGTCAGAAAAGCGTATAAACAACCGTAACTTGATGTGATAAAGCTGTCACGCCAAGCGGGACCTGTGCCTGGCTCTGCGCCCAAGGGCAGCCTCTGCTTGCCTCCTGCCAGTACTGTGGTTCCCACTGGCTCTCCTGGTCTCCCTTTGCCACTGCCTGTGAGGTCCCTGTAGTCGGGGACTTGAGGTGGCCTCAGCGAGATGCCCGTTCTGGGCGAGGCGCCGAGTTAGGTACCGAGACAGGACTGATCTGAATGCGGCTCCCAGAGGAACAGAGAGGACACGGTCCGCGTCCACCTCACCGTCCCTGCCGCTGCTGTAAGGACCACCGAGCCCCAGCCCGGTGCGGGGTGACTGTGGGCGGGCTGTGGCCCACGGAAGGTGGTCAGCGACCCGCGCGGAGCTCAGAAGTTCAGTCCCAAGCTCAGTGTTTACAGGACCAGTCAGAGGGAGGGCCGGGGAGGGTGGGGGGCGATGCCTGAGGAGGGAGAACGGCTTCCCATTCTGGGAATTCCAAAAGGGATGGTTCCAGAAGGAGGCCTTCAGAGCTGGCCTCATTTCTGTGACTGAACAGGTGACCTAGGATTCCGGTTATGGGTGCCTTAGTCCTCCAAGAGTGGGACCTTCTCGTCTCCTTGCCTCCTCTGTAACACAGGGGGGCAACGCGATCACGTAGAATAAATAACCCAGAATCTTCGGCCCCTGGTGCATGTCACCTAAGCTGTGCAACTCTCTGGGGGTCATAGAATGGAGATGGTTCATACCTTACATGCTTTCTGCCATGTGAAGGCATTCAGCCAACCCCCATTTGGAGATCACATTATCCTCGGCCAGAGAGCACGTCTGATGTGGGAAGGCATGACGGGATCCCCGCCCTGGGATTCCCAAGATCTCTGTGTGCTCTGTCTGTGCCGCGTAATTGTCTGTATCCTTGAAACTATTATCATGATTTTATTTATTTTGAGAGAGAGGGCGCATGAGAGCAGGGGAGGGGCAGAGAGAGAGGGAGAGGGAGACTCCCCAAGTAGGCTCTGTGCTGTCAGCCGGGAGCCCTCCCCGGGGGCTTGATCTCACCAACCGTGAGATCCTGACATGAGCCGAAATCCAGAGTCTGTCACTTAACCGACTGAGCCACCCAGGCGTCCCTGTATCCTTGAAATTATTAGTGGAGCTTAATATTGGCTAAGATCTCGGGTTCACTTGAGTCTGGTTAGCGCCGTATTATACTTCAATTAGAAAATGGTGCATGGGGGGGGGCACTTGGGTGGCTCAGGGGGTTAAGTGTTGGACTCTTGATTTTGGCTCGGGTCACGACCTCATGGTTTGCGAGTTTGAGCCCCGCATCAGGCTCTGCGCTGACAGCCCCCCATTGTGTCAGGTCATGGTCTCGCGGTTCGTGAGTTCGAGCCCCGCGTCGGGCTCTGTGCTGACCGCTCAGAGCCTGGAGCCTGTTTCGGATTCTGTGTCTCCCTCTCTCTCTGACCCTCCCCTGTTCATGCTCCTTCTCTCTTTGTCTCAAAAATAAATAAACGTTGGGGCGCCTGGGTGGCGCAGTCGGTTAAGCGTCCGACTTCAACCAGGTCACGATCTCGCGGTCCGGGAGTTCGAGCCCCGCGTCAGGCTCTGGGCTGATAGCTGACGGCTCAGAGCCTGGAGCCTGTTTCTGATTCTGTGTCTCCCTCTCTCTCTCTGCCCCTCCCCCGTTCATGCTCTGTCTCTGTCCCAAAAATAAATAAACGTTGAAAAAAAAAATTAAAATAAATAAATAAATAAATAAATAAACGTTAAAAAAAAAAAAAAAAAAGAACCAACCGGGGAGACACGTCAGAGCGGCTGCTAATGGTTCCGGTTCTGTCCCCTGCAGAGAAGGGTTGGCCCGTTCACCGCCGCTGCTGGCTCAGCCCAACCTCCCCTTTGGGTACCCGGTCCATGGGGTAGAGGTGATGCCCCTGCACACGGTTCCCCTCCCAGGTAGGTACGTCTCCGTCTGGAGAGGAGCCAGGCAACTTTCATAACCCTTCTGAAGCAAAATCGGGGAGTGGAAGGGGACAGTCGTGTATTGAGTGCCTGCTGTGTGCTCAGCACAACGCAGGAATTTGGCGTGATTTCGCTGAATGTCGGTCTCACTGTTTCCGCCCCTGGGAATCACCCTCAGTAGTGGTGACCTCCCAGGGGACCCGAGATGACACAGAAGAGGACAGAAATCTGTGTGCCTCAAGGGCTCTTAGGACATCGTTGGCTTTTTGGCGTCCCGTCACTCATGGGAACAGGCCAAGATGAGCCCACCTCCTGGGACAGCATATTGAAAAGAGTATTTATGTTGGTTAAAACGCCCCTCCAACGAGGGATTTCTAGACACGTCTCTAGTTCGGGACCACATCCCTGTGAGGTAGATGTTACTTTGCCAATTTCACGGATGATTTCCTTTTTTTTATTGTAAAATGTGCATATCCTAAAATTTACCGTATCCATCATTTTGAAGCACACGGGGTTGTGGCATTACATTCTCATCGTTCGGCAACCGGCACCGTCATCCGTCTCCGGAACTTGTTAATCTTCCCCCACTGAAACTCTGTACCCAATTTAACATTGTCCCTTCCCCCCACCGCCCGTGGCAGCCACCATTCAGTAGAATGTCTTGTCTCTGTGAAATTGACTGTTCTAGAAACCTCATATACAGTATGATCCGTTGCGGCCTTCCCTTCAGTAACAGAGATGCCTGGAAAGTGCTAGATTAAATTCACAGTCCCCGTCCAGTGCTGAGGGTGGGCATCAGAGGCTTTAGAACCACTGGAAGTTGAGGACAGGGGACAGCCCCTAACACAACCCCCAGGGAGAGAGGAGTGTTCGGCAGATGCCCTGGGTAGGAGGGGACACTGAAGGGATTCTGGAAGGATGTGTAGGATCCACCGGGAGGGTAGGAGCGTCAGGGAACCTTTGACACCCTCTCAACTGGTGTTTTTTTTTTCTCCTTTCATCTGTGTCTTCCAGGCCTTCAGTTTGAAGGACAAGACGCCCCCTTCTATAAGGCAAGTCCCCTTCCCATCCCCTTTTTGCACTTGGCCTCCTGTCCACACCCTGCTTCCCCAGTGTGGCTGGTCTCAGATTTTGACAGAGTCTTTATCCAGATTGAATATCTGACATGAGTCCCCGGTGGGGAGGGGAGAAAGGGTGCCTCCAGAAGGCATGATTTTCATGAACTCCAGCGGCCGGAGCTCCGAGGAGGACTTCTAAAGACCTGGGCCATCACAGATGCTGCTGCTTCCGCCGCAAGAGGAAGTTGCGACCACAGCCGCGGCCGCGGCCACGGCCACGGCCGCGGCTTCTGTGCATGTTGCCTCCGTCAGGGTGAGCTCCGGCAAGACCGATGCTCCGTGCCCTTAGCCTTCCGTGGCCCGCTTAACACGGCTCCAAATCCAGCTCTCCTGCGCGTAGAGCCCTAATTTGAAAAGGAGTCTGGGAAATGTAGTTTTAGTTTTCCCACTCTGCATGCCAGAGGTTGGAATGGGTGATGAGTGAGCAAATCTGCAAAACTACTCAGTTCCCGATGGCCTTCCCCCCCCCCCCCAAAACACACTCCCCCCCCCCCCCCCACGCCCCGCCCCGCCACTTTCCCAGTACTCTCATATCTTCTTCAGGGTGCCTTTCTGTACCTGAGTTATTTTATATGCATCGTGATAGACTGGTGGCTGACCTCCCCCACCAGAATAGAAGCTTCTGGAAGGTGCGGAGTTGCTTTTATTCACTGCTCTTCTCTCAGTGTCTCTAGTTTGGATCTCAGAAAGCACCTTCCCGCTGACCAAAGCGTTCTCAGCAGACGTGACATAACCCAGTGTACCTTTCACAAAAGACGTCTGGATGCACAGAGGACGAGGAGGCAGGAGAGGAGAGGGGCTTTAGGGAGTAGCAATGGGATGGAGAGAAGGGGACCAGTCCTAGCTACGTGTTGAAGGTAGACCCGGCAGGACTCCCTCAGAATAGCAGTGACCTCCATCAGGGACGTCACCAGTTGAATGGATGAAGGCACCATTCACGAGGCCGGGAGAAGCAGGGAGAGAGTGAAAAACAGGTTGATAGAGAAAAATCAATAGTTCGGTCTCGAAGACTTAACTTTGAGTTAGTCGCCTGGGGAATTTCCTAGCAGAGCAAACAGCCGGGCAGTTAGGGCTCAGAGAGATGGGAGCTGGAGGCATCCATTTAAAAAAAATTTTTTTTTTTAAATTTTTTTAAATTTTTTAAATTTATTTTTGCGACAGAGAGAGACAGAGCATGAGCAGGGGAGGGGCAGAGAGAGAGGGAGACACAGAATCCGAAGCAGGCTCCAGGCTCTGAGCCGTCAGCACAGAGCCTGATGTGGGGCTCGAACCCACAGACTGTGAGATCATGACCTGAGCCGAAGTCGGACACTTAACCGACTGAGCCACCCAGGCGCCCCCCCAAAAAAAATTTTTTTAACATTTTATTAATTTTTGAAAGACAGAGACAGCATGAGTGGGGGAGGGGCAGAGAGAGAGAGAGAGAGAGAGAGAGAACGTGAAGCAGGCTCCAGGCTCTGAGCTCTCAGCACAGAGCCTGACGCGGGGCTCGAACCCACAGACTGTGAGATCATGACCTAGGCCGAAGTCAGACCCTCAACTGACTGAGCCACCCAGGAGCCCCTGGAGACATACTTTTTTTTTTTTTTTTTTTTTACATTTTTGGGACAGAGAGAGACAGAGCATGAACGGGGGAGGGGCAGAGAGAGAGGGAGACACAGAATCGGAAACAGGCTCCAGGCTCCGAGCCATCAGCCCAGAGCCTGACGCGGGGCTCGAACTCACGGACCGCGAGATCGTGACCTGGCTGAAGTCGGACGCTTAACTGACTGCGCCACCCAGGCGCCCCTGGAGACATACATTTTTAAGCCAACAGCCTATGAATGATATTTAAAGATGCCTCCTCTAGGGGCGCCTGGGTGGCTCAGCTGGTTCAGCGTATGACTCTCGGTTTTGGTTCAGGTCATGATCTCGGGGTTTGTGGGATCGAGCCCCGTGGCTGACCGGTGTGGAGCCTGCTGGGGATTCTCTCTCTCCCTCTTTCTCTGCCCCTCCCCCGCTCAGGCACATGCTCTCTCTCTCTCTCTCTCTCTCTCTCAATAAATAAATAAACTTTCAAACATATATACATAAAGCCGCCTCCTCTAGAAGGTGTTGAGTAGGAAGAGAAAAGGGGACAGAACTGAACCCTGAAAAACTCCATTTGGAGGTCAGACGGAGGAAGAGGCAGCCAAAGTCAAAAGATGCAGCCCGCGGCAGTAGGCAGGAATCTAGAAGAATGGTATCCCGTAAGCCAAGGGATGAGAGAGCAGTGGCCCTGGAACGCTCCAGGCCCCAGGACTTGATTCTACTTTGCTGAGAGTAAAGCTACAACTGCCTGCGGTGCCAGACCCCAGCTTTCAGGAGCACCCCGGAGCGCCTCCTCTTTCCCGCCTGTGCCCTGCCCCCTGCTGGCCATCCCGGGTATGTGCCTTTCCTCGCATTCAGCGTCCTTCTACCTGCTCCACCCTAGGTCACGCTGACAGCGTCTCTGGGGACCCTGAACACCCTTGCTGACGTCCCGGCCAGTGTGGTGCAGGGCAGAGGTCAGAAGCAGCTGACCGTTTCGACCAGGAACCGGCAGCTTTTGAATTTCGTCCTCCAGCACCTGACCTACACCAGCACCGTGTACCAGCACCCCAGGGTGGATGTGGGTGAGAGCCTGTGCTTGGAGGGCAAAATGTGAAGGGAGCGGGAAGGCAGCCACGGGACCCTCTCAAAGTCTTCCTCCTCCAGGAAGCCCGCCTGCATTTAGCACGCTTGCCTTGCTCCTGTTTCTAACCCGGGATGTCTCACCTTCCCAAGGACTGTAGTCCATATTATCCCCATGTTGCCACTGACCCCATAGCATGACTGGAAGGAAAGAACACGTACCTCTCTGTGAGGACGGATCATTCGTGCTGTGTACCTGGAAGCCATCGGGCCCTGTTCCCCGTTATCTGTAGCTCTCAGCTGCGGGAGGGGAGGGAAGCCGTCTGCGCATCGGTATCTCATCCTGGGCACTGACAGGAAAGAGGGATGTGGGGGAACTCCCAGTCCCAAGGGCAGTGGTTTTGTGTCCCACCCCCCACCCCCCACCCCAGGGATTCCCTGGGAGAACAATCCTTGCCGCCCTGATGGCAGTCCCAGGTTCTTTCTGGATGAATTCAAGTCGCTGTTTTCCCTTTGGGGGCGCCTGGGTGGCTCAGTCGATAAAGCACGCCGCTCTTGTTCTCGGCCTCGTGGGTCGTGAGTTCGAGCCCCGTGTGAGGCATAGAACTTAATTGAAAAAAAAAAAAGGGGGGGGGGCAGTCAGCAGGTTGCCCCAGGGACGCAGAGCAAGTCAGGCGCCAGAATGCTGTCAACGTTATGGGGTCCTCAGTCTCATCCCAGGCGGGACATGCTCTACCGGGCCTTCACCTGGCTTCAAATCGGCTTCCTTGGGGCAGCGTGGAAAGTGACCAGACGCGGTGCTGCCCACCTTGCCCTTCTGTCTCCCTCCAGTGAGTCTGGAGTCCAAGTCCTCAGTCACCAGATTTCCAGTGACCATCCGCCATCCTGTCATGCCCAGGTTGTATGACCCTGGACCAGGTGAGGCCCTTGCCCCCCGGGGCTCCAGGGTGGGATCCTGCGGAGCTTTTGGTGACATTCGGAAGGCATCCCCCCCCCCCCCCCCCCCCCCCCCCGCCGCCGGCCCCCGGGAGGTGGAGGAGGAGATTCAATGAAAATAACAGCTCTGATTGGATTCCTGACAAACAAGCTTTGCTTGGTGGGGGTGGGGGTGGGGTGGGGGGCGGATTCGAGGACACACGCTCCTAATAGCGCTTAATCATATTTAACTTATTATATGGTTGGGCTTATTTTGAAAAAAAACCAAACGAATGACAACGTCTTAATAAGTAATAGTAACAAGAACAGAATGGTACTGGGACGTGGCTAGACGTATCAATGGAGTCCAACTGGAAATCCAGAAACGACCAGGTGAGAATTCTACCATGGAATGAAGGCAGCTTTTCAAGTTAAAGGGCAAAAAAAGATGGGTTAGCCAAGAAATCCCATGGGACAGCTGTGGAGCTACGTGGAAGATAGAAAGTTGAATCTGTCTTACAGCTCATACCAAGAGAAATTCCAAATTGATCAAATATCGCATATTTTTAAAAAAAAATTTTTTTTCAACGTTTTTATTTATTTTTGGGACAGAGAGAGACAGAGCATGAACGGGGGAAGGGCAGAGAGAGAGGGAGACACAGAATCGGAAACAGGCTCCAGGCTCCGAGCCATCAGCCCAGAGCCTGACGTGGGGCTCGAACTCACGGACCGTGAGATCATGACCTGGCTGAAGTCGGACGCTTAACCGACTGCGCCACCCAGGCGCCCCAAATATCGCATATTTTTAAGTGCTAGAGCAAAAAAAAAATCCATGGAGTTAAAAAAAAAAAAAAAAAAGCAATCCTACGGGCGCCTGAGTGGCTCAGTTGGTTAAGCGTCTGACTTCAGCTCAGGTCATGATCTCACGGTTCATGGGTTTAAGCCCCATGTCGGGCTCTGTGCTGACAGCTCAGAGCCTGGAGCCTGCTTTGGATTCTGTGTCTTCCTCTCTCTCTGCCCCTCCCCTGTTCATGCTCTGTCTCTCCGTCTCAAAAATAAATAAGCATTAAAAAATGGGAAAAAAAAAAAAAAGCAATCCTAGAGTATAAGACCTTTCTAAGTACGTCACAAAACACAAAGGCCAGAAAGGAAAGACTACCCACGTAAAATACCCAAAATTGTTCAATGTTTTTATGGCAGAAACCCACCAAAGGCAAAGGCAAATGGCAAAGAACAAATTGGGAAAAAAAAAATCTTCAGCACGCGTTAAAGTCAAAGGTGTGCTTTTATTTGCAAGCGCCTGTGAATCCATAAAAAACGCCTAATAAGCCGGGGCACCCGGCTGGCTCTCGGTGGAGGGTGTGTCTCTTACTCTGGGGGTTGGGAGTTCAAGCCCCAGGCTGGGTGCAGAGATTACTTTAATAAATAAATGTTTGAAAAAAACACCTACTTGGGAATGCAAGCTGGTGCAGCCACTCTGGAAAACAGTATGGAGGTTCCTCAAAAAAGCTAAAAAGAGAACTACCCTATGACCCAGCAATTGCACTACTGGGCATTTATCCACGGGATACAGGTGCTGTTTCGAAGGGACACATGCACCCCCATGTTTATAGCAGCACTATCAACGATAGCCAAAGTATGGAAAGAGCCCAAATGTCCATCGATGGATGAATGGATAAAGAAGATGTGGTATATATATGCAATGGAGTATTACTTGTCAACCATAAAGAATGAAATCTTGCCATGTGCAACTGCGTGGATGGAACCGGAGGGTATTATGCTAAGCGATATTAGTCAGAGAAAGACAAAAATCATAGGACTTCACTCATATGAGGACTTTAAGAGACAAAACAGAGGAACATAAGGGAAGGGAAACAAAAATCATATAAAAACAGGGAGGGGGACAAAACAGAAGAGACTCATAAATATGGAGAACAAACTGAGGGTTCCTGGAGGGGGTGTGGGAGGGGGGATGGGCTAAATGGGTAAGGGGCATTAAGGAATCTACTCCCGATATTATTGTTGCACTATATGCTATTTGGATATAAATTTCGATGTAAATTAAAAAAATTTTTTTTTCAACGTTTATTTATTTTTGGGACAGAGAGAGACAGAGCATGAATGGGGCAGGGGCAGAGAGAGAGGGAGACACAGAATCGGAAACAGGCTCCAGGCTCTGAGCCATCAGCCCAGAGCCCGACACGGGGCTCGAACTCACGGAACGCGAGATCGTGACCTGGCTGAAGTCAGACGCTTAACCGACTGTGCCACCCAGGCGCCCCTCGATGTAAATTTTAAAAAAGAAAAAAAAAATTAAAAAAAATAAAAAAATGCCTACTAAGCCGATGGAAAAATACACAGCTTGCTACAGATTATATCCAACAATACTTTTAGCCATTAAAATATGTACTCAGTCCCACGCTTAAAAAAAAAGCACAAATGTGAAATACATTCATATCAGAAAGGATTGGAGGAGGAGTGGGGGGAAGGCACTCTTTGAAAAAATTCTTTAATCTTTATTTTTGAGAGAGAGAGAGAGAGAGAAGCAGAGCTCCAGCATGGGTGGAACAGAGAGAGAGGGAGACACAGAATCCGAAGCAGGCTCCAGGCTGTGAGGTGTCAGCACAGAGCCCGATGCGGGGCTCGAACTCACGAACTGCGAGATGATGACCTGAGCCGAAGTCAGACACTTAAACGACTGCGCCATCCAGGTGCCCCAGGGAGCAGGCATTCTTATGAACCCCCGTGGGACGTGTAAATTGGCATAGCCTTTCTAGAGGTAGTTTGGCAATATCTATCAACATTTGGGATGTGTATTCCCTTCGGGCCAGCAATGGCACTTCTAGAAGTTATCATACTATGCTTGTATCTGTGTGAAATGACGTTTATTTGAGGTTCTTTATTGCAGCAAAAACCTGAGTAGTGGGATGCATTGGTTAGATCAAGTGGGGTCCATCCATATAATGAAATTCCATGTAGTGGCATTCTGAAGGAGGGAAGGGGGAAAACAGGAGGAGATGTTTTCTTTTTATGCTGGTACAAAATGATTTCCAAGTTATAGGCGGGTACAGAAGAGAGGGAAGGGTAAGCTACCATGTCTGTAAAAAGGAAGAGAGAAAAAAAATGCATCTACATTCATTGCTGGATTAAGGAAAAACGAACAAGAAGTTGGTAACATTGGTTGCCTCCTGGTTTCCTCATTGGGGGACAGAGATGGGAAGAAATTGTTCCATGGTATAACGTTCGATATATTCAGGATTTTGAACCGCTTGGCACTTTTTGAATATATTATGTATGTATTCAAAGTCTATTCTATCCAAATAGAGTCTATTCAAAATACAAATTGAATTACTATTTAAGGGTAATCGCATGAAATATCCAGGGAGAAGGATTTAAAATATTTGCCTAACACAACTATCTCAAAAATAAGAGAATTAAGTACAAGAAATTCACATAATTTGTTTTCTTTTTTGGCTTCAGGTTTGCTTTAAAGACAAGGTGTTATTTTTAGGTAGAAACTTCCACAATCTTATCCCCCTCCCTTCTGTTAACAAATGATCACATATATCTTTCTTTTCCTGGTTTTTGTACATTTCTTACGTAAATTTCTATTCCCACCCGCATGTGTGTGTGCGCGCGCGCATGTGCGTAGAGCATTGAGCGTGGTTTTGAGCTGTTCATAAAAGTTATCGTACCTTATGCTGTGAAGTTCTAGAATCTGACCTTTTATCAATCTGCGGCTTGCCTTTTGATTTTGTTTCTGGCGTCGTTTGTTATGTGAAAGTTGTATCCTTTTTTTTTTTTTTTTAATTTTTTTTTAACGTTTATTTATTTTTTTGGGACAGAGAGAGACAGAGCATGAACGGGGGAGGGGCAGAGAGAGAGGGAGACACAGAATCAGAAACAGGCTCCAGGCTCTGAGCCATCAGCCCAGAGCCTGACGCGGGGCTTGAACTCACGGACCGCGAGATCGTGACCCGGCTGAAGTCGGACGCTCAACCGACTGCGCCACCCAGGCGCCCCGAAAGTTGTATCCTTTAATGTAGTAGAAGTGATTTTTTTTTTCTACCTTTTGCTCTTTTGTGCTTTGCTCAAGAAATTCTTCCCTACCTTGAAGCCATAACGATATTCTCCTGTATTTTTTTTTTCAAAGTTGTAGGTTTGGCTTTTCACATGTAGATATTTAATCCCCACACAAGTTATTTTTATGTGTGGCATGTGCTGGGGATCTGATTTTTTTGTATATGAATAGCATATTGTCCCCACACCATATATTAATGAGCCTATCTATCCTCCTCCTCCATGGCTTGTGTGACCAGTCTGTCACATACCAAGTTTCATATATGCAGCGGTCTGAATCTTGGCTTTGTTGGGTTGCATTGGTCTGTTTCTCCTTGGGCCAATCCCATAAGACTTCAGTAAGCTGTATAATAAGTTTTACATCTAGTGGGGATAAAATCTATACTTCAGGGGGCGCCTGGGTGGCTCAGTCAAGCATCCGACTTCGGCTTAGGTTGTGATCTCACAGTCCGTGAGTTTGAGCCCCGTGTCCGGCTCTGACTGACACCTCGGAGCCTGGAGCCTGCTTCGGATTCTGTGTCTCCCTCTCTCTGACCCACCCCCGCTCTGTCTCTCTCTGTCTCTAAAATAAATAAATATTAAACATTTTTTTTTTTAGGGGCACCCGGGTGGCTCAGTCGGTGAAGCATCCGACTTCGGCTCAGGTCATGATCTCACAGTCGGTGGGTTCGAGCCCCGCGTCGGGCTCTGTGCTGACAGCTCAGAGCCTGGAGCCCATTTCAGATTCTGTGCCTCCCTCTCTCTGACCCTCCCCTCTTCATACTCTGTCTCTCTCTGTCTCAAAAATAAATAAACGTTAAAAAAAATTAAAAAATAAATAATTTTTAAAAAAAATCTATACTTCAGGATGACTGTACTTCGTTTGCAACATTTTCTTCACTCTTCTTGGTGTTTGACTTTTCCATTAGAATTTCAGGATCCTC